ATCAACCGAGGTCTGTTTAGGAATGCATCTGAATGTGGCCATAAACTGAGTAGTTTAATTATCCATATCCTTCCATTATATCTGACATTTTAAGGATGTCTAATAGGAATAAATGGGGGAATGGAAAGCAAATGTGAAAATATTCTTCTTTAAGCCTAATTGAGGTGTGGCTCAGGACAGTATTGAAAGTTATACTAGAATATGGAGACTGGGATATGTGTTGCTTCAGCTAGTTACTATTAACAAACTTCGCTGAATATACTGTAATTTTTTACGTGTGCTCAGTCATAGAACGTTATCATTATCAGTAGACATTTAGATATACATACCAGCCTGTCCCTCCATCTGTTTGCTTCAGAATACTTGGCATTTGTTTTGCAACGTCGTAAAAGTAGTTACAGCTTTGCAGTTGAGAACTATCACAGCAATATCAATTTTTCATATTCAAGTTAGCTTTAAAAACAGAAGTTTGTCTTTATTTATAACTCCTAGTGCCTTGCTCTACGCTTATGTGTGGGGTGAGGGAGTTAAATGTGTGGAATACAGCTGGGCAATAAATAAGGTTGCAAAACTCTTGTCATTAGTAATGAAGCCTTTTGCAGTGGCATGTTAATGTGGAAGTGTCTAGACCCACAAAAAAGAAAACCTAAATCCTTTTGATTATAACCAGGAATTTGCCTCTGCTTTCTAAAGTATTTTAAGGAGACATATTTTTTGCATGGTTTCCACAGAAACATTTTGCAGCAAGAAGGTATTCATGTTTAAAATAAAATGTTAGCTGAGGCAATGGGAAGTTTGAGACTCGCTTACTTCTTGTGTAGTTGCATCTTCGACATTTTATGCTGATGATCGTGTTCAGCTAAAAATTTGCCTAATTTTTTGCTGGTGGTTATTAGCTAAGTGTATGTTAAATTATTGTGGGTATTCTGTAAAATTAGCCATACATTCATAATGGCTGTTTTGGATAGGGTAAGCATAGTAATGCTGGCTGAAGTTTTTATATTAATTTTCCTTTCCCTTCTCTTCCCCACCCCCCCCAAGGAAATTTGGTTTTGAGCAGTGTTTTGGAGACTGGTCAAGAGGTTGTTTTTAAAAATAGTACTAGACAATAAATGAGAAGACAGATAAGGGGAGAAAACAACGCTAATCAGTTGAACTTCTTAGAATTTCACAGAAGTGCTCAGGAGGCTGTAAACTGTAGATTGATACAAACCTGCGGTGAGAAAAGAGGTAGAATGAAATCAGATTCCATCTAGATCTATAAAGGCAAAATAGCACTAAAATTTAAATTTAACACTTATAAATACATTCAGTAATGATATGGAGATGAATATGTTAAACCATACGTTTCAGAAATCTTACGACCATATTCCTTGCAATGGATTCAGAGTGGTGTAAAGATTTGTCTTGGGTGACACCTGCAATTCATGCAGACTTTCCTGGTAGTATGTGCAATGCTCTGTCATGTTTAACAGCAAATGAGCACACTGAACTTAACAGGAACTTTATTTAGCTGAAGATATGCTGCACGTCACCTCTTCAGCTATGCTCCTGGGCCATATCACTCCGGTGCTGTCCTTGGCACTCTCCATGTGTATTGAATCTGACAAAAAGCCTGTCTCCGTGTTTTCAGAGTTACCCAAAGAATGAACATTTGGAATTTCAGAGATTTCTTTGTCTTCACGAGCATAACGTCTTCAGCTATGTTTCTCTGACGCTATGAAACTGTCACCCTGAAGGCTAAAACTCTTAAAAGTAGGAGCCAGGATTTTTGCTGCCACAGCGACAAAGTTTGGGATGTAATTAGAAAAAATTATAAGCGTGACTGAGTGTGAGAATGGGAATAAATTTAGTTTAGTTTTCTGGTTACTCTGTTTAGTTTTCTTTCACGTGAAGACGATAACAGAAGATGAAAAGAGAGTGATATACTTGATAGAAGGATGAAAGAAGTCAGACATCCAGCAAATTACTGTTTTCTTATTTGCGTTCTGGGAAACACATACTAGGTCAGAGACAACATCTGAAAACCTTTATGTGCAGATAAAAGAAGACAGCACTTCTTGTAAATAGGCTGGGACTCTCATCTGCACACAATGACATTTAATTAAGTCAGTAAGCTGAAAGTGATTTTTTTTATCCTATGTTTCAGTTCGGGTTGAAAAAATTATGCCATTTGTAATTTTGTGTTTTTGAGCAAAATTCCGTGGATTATGAATTTGCCTGCTCTGGGAGATTTAGCAATATTCTATCTATACAATCATTTCTAATATTATTTTACTGAATGATTAAAGACCTGGATGGTAATAGTGTGACACATTGTTTTAATTGCAGGTGTTTGTATTCACACAGAACAAAGCAAATAAGCGAATAATGGATATCTCAGCTAAAAAGGGGGAGCCATCAGCCTGCTCAGACATACATTTTTCTTGCAGGGACCTGGTAGTGATATGATGTTTTTGTGGTCTATATAGGAACTCCTGATCACAGAAGAATGATCGTTTGTCCCTTTGCTCAAGGGACTCATACTACTGAGAAATTTAATGTTGTAAAAATAACATTTTCAACAGGTGCCACACTTCTGCACGTTTTTTTGTGACACCGCTCTCTGCTGAAGTGGTGTAGTAGATGTACCAGGTTTTTACACACAGAAACAATTCAGTTTCAGCAAGGATTAAGTGCAGATAAACAACATATTTCATAAAAGATTGTTATATCCTCTCTCCCATTGACACTTCCACCCCCAGACGAGAAAGAGCCTGGCATGGCATGCTTTCTTTTAGATCTCCACAGACATTTGCCTGCCACAAGGCAATGTAAATTTTGTCTTAGTTATTAGACTGTGATTATTAAATAATAATGGGAAGAGAGATCTCAGCCTGTTCATAAAGCATAGTGATTTTGTAGTATAAAAAGAACCTGAATCAAAAGGACCACGCTTTTTTTCATTTGCATATCCTATCTTATAACTTACAGTAATTAATGTGGGTAGAGCAAAATATGGAAGACAGGCTTTTCAGCTGCTTTTTTTGTGTGTGAGAAGTTGATCGTGCGTGCTGATCTGAAGTAGTACCGGAAGATGCCCATCTTGAATGAGACACAGAGCTCAGAGAAATGAGATCTGGTGGTTGGAGGTGTCACACACCAACTGCCCCTCTCTGCCGGCATTGCAAAACTGTTGTATTGAAATGCAGCAGACTCTTCTGCCAGAAAAAGTGCTGGAGATGACCCTGGCTATTCATTGTGACTGATTAAGATATATGATATCTTCCTTTTATTCTGAACCTCTTCTTTTCAGTTTCGCTTCCGTCCATTAAAACACCAGAATCCTCTGGAAAGGCAAACGCCAAGCAAACATCCAGGCTGAAATGGTAGATCCATTTGCAATTAGTGTATATTTCTTCTTTCCTCTACCCTCTTTCTTTTCTGAAGAAACCACTTGTTTGCTTTCTCTTTGTTTCTTAGCTGTTAGAAAGCCTTTAAAAATGCTTTTGCTTCGCTGTCACGGCATTATGCTCTTTGGAGGGAGGATCAGCTGGAGTCATGGCAAAGAGAACTGCTGTCCTGGTAATTTTATTTCGTATTCACCATACGATTCCCAGAATTGCATTGTTCCTTCCCAGAGGGGGAAGACTGGTCCCTCATGCAAATCACTGGTCCTTTTCTAGGCTTTTGTAGCCTTCGTGAAATTGTTGGAAAAGATCCTTCTTTCTGCAGAGAGGGGAGGAGGAATTGCACCAGACAGGCTGGCCCCAGTCATTTTATCACTTTCCTGTGTCTTACAGCTCTTTTTGAGGAGCAGGCACCAGGCAGTACCTATCCTGAGTTCCCAGGGCTTCTGCTGCTCTTGTGCTTTTGGTGCACCAAATTCAACAGCATTATTTGACTTAAATCACGACTTGCATTGGTATGAGAGTACACAGCATCTGGCCCACAGCCTTGTCTGTGTGCGAAAGTGTCCTCGTTCATTTAAGCTGCATTGATAAATAAGTGGTTTTCTACTGACTTAAGTGATACCTGAAGTTGGTACTAGTTAAACAAAATTAGCATGTGTACATTATTTCAGCTGATAATACTTTGTGAGTAGACATGTCCCCAGATTCAGTTTTCACAGAGCCTTTTTAGTGTTTATGGGAGTGCAACCGTTATCCTCAGGAATGCCTCCAAGCCTTGCAAACTCCAGGAACAACACAGAGAATGTGCAGTAATAGAGGTTTATTTTAAAAGAAGAAAAGTGACAAAGCAAAGTAGAAAGAATGAGGCTAGAAACAGTCTGGATAGATCTGCACTGGGATTGAAAGTAGCAAGCATTAAACTACCTGTTTCTTGCTAGTGAATTAAGCAAGAATAGAAATTTTAATTTAACCCCCATCTCCACCGACATCAGCACACGCATGCAGAGGATTATTACCACCATCTGTTTTATCCACAGTAGTTTCCATCAGTTGTGATATTTTATTTTTTTTAGTGTTTAAGCACTGCTTTGAAGCTGTTGTGTTAATTGTTAACTGTGGCTGAATCTGTGCATAGATGCCTATAGTAGTGTCAGTATGCTAAGATCATAACTGTTAGATTAATGAATGCAAGTATTAGCTCTGTGCTGGTGCAGTACATTAATAGCTGTGCAAGTTCAATCAAATACACTACTGACTTAGTCATTGTATAATGGTATTTACCAGATCTTAGATGGACTGCTGAGAAAGATGAATGTAATCTTTCATTTTTATCTGACTTAAAAAATAGGTAACAAAATCATTTTCATTGGATATTTTATTATTATTCTTCGCAGCAGGAGAACAGATGTACCTGTAGACTTGAATTCTTCTCTAAAATGGAATATGAATATGAGGGATGTTGTAGTGAATGGAAGGAAAACTTAACTGTTGCAGCCATTATCTTTCGTGTAGCTTAATCTCACATTCTGAATTACTGGAATGAATACCAAAAAGAAAAAAAATAATGAGTATGCTTATTCCTGCCTTTCTTTTATTTTTCCTTCACAGAACCTGAAGAAAGTGTTTGTAGAATTTAGTCATCAGGAGCTGTTTGAGTTCTATAACAAGGTCTGTAGATTTTACAATACTATAGTTTCTTTGTAAACACCTTATGTTGCTCAGCAGGAAGGAAAATGGATCCTACTTTAATTAAGGCTGTTGGGTTTGTTTGATCGCATAAAGCATTTTCAAGAAGAGTCTGTGCATTCCGATTTGGAATAGGCAGGGCTTGGGTCATTGTAAGCATACCTGGCAGCTAGATCGAGAGGAGTAGCTGGTGATTAACAATGAGGAGCTCTCTGGAAAGAGCATCTTTGTGTTACATATTCAGTCAAAATGCCAGGCTCGTAATCCAGTCAAAATTAACTCTGTTATTTTTTTACCTTGTTATTATGCGTTGGAAATTCACAGCAAAACATCTGTGCGTGTAAAAAAGGCAGTATTTAGACAACTGTTTCTTTAAAATTTGAATATTTAGACTGCAGCAATGAATTCTAATAGCTTCATGTAAAAACAAATATTCATGAGTACAGGATTTTTTTATTGCTATGTGAATAGATTTAGTATGCATAGTTGAAGATACTGGAATGGGGGGGTGTTCTGTTTGCATGTTTCTAAACAACATTTTATATGAGTGGAGTTTTTTTCTCTCTTTTTTTGTTCCTTTAAATAGCTGGAAACTATACAAGCACAGCTGGATTCTCTTACGTGATGTTTTTGAAGACTTATTTCTCCATCGCAGTCTTGCCACCTCATTATTTTGAATTGAAGATAGATTGCCAAGCTGTGTTTGCTGAAGGATTCAGTGGCTTGCTTCCTGTAAAATTATATGACTTATCTCCTTTTTAGACCAGTAACATTAGCCAAGAGACTTTGTTAAGAGTCTGAAGATTCTAATGGAGTTTCTCTTGTTTTCTGAGCAATTTTGAAGAATGGCTTTACTTGCAGAAAAGAATGCTGCGCTGCTTCAGAGATTTTTTTTTTCTGTCCTGTTATGAGTGTTACGTGATTCTGGTAGAAATTTCCATACTAGTGAGGGACCAGGAATAAAATCTATTTTTTAGACATAAAAGGAATATAAAAGTAGTAGTAAAATACACAGCTAATAAAATCTCCATCCTTTTGAACTGTTATTCACATGATTGATAAAGCTTATTGCAAATTTGTCAAAATAAAGTCAGAATTTAAAAATGGATTGGTTTTGTTCTGGGCTATTTTAACTTAATTTCGTTATCTTTCTTATTTTTTAGGGGTTTTTTTTTGATTGTTCTAAATAATAAAAAATGTTGCAGATTTCAGTGTTTACTTTTGGCACTGAGAATAAACACAGCTTCTTAGCAGCGCATGCATGCCAGTGAATCTAAGTAGTCTGTTGTACAACTCGGGGGAGAAATCTCAGAGTGTATAACAAAGAACACTGAAATAGGCTGACAGTCAGATTTCTGAAACCTATTTGTTGATCCTTCCTCATGTTGTCCGCCACCATTTGTACATCTAACAGGAAGAAATGAAGTACAGTGACTTAAAGGCCAAGTTAGTTGTATTTTCACACATTAGTTCCAGATGAACGGAGGTTCATGAACAGTATGAGAAGGTGAAAGTCATCTTAGTTCTTGTTTGTTGCCGTTTGTTGACAGGCAACTTGCTGTACCTTGATAATGGGCACAGTATACAACTCTCTACTCCAGGCCAGTAGAAGGTGAGAGAAGATAAAAATCTTCGGCATTACCTTGTCTTTCTTCCTAAGGGATTCCCTGAACAAGGCTTTTTCCTTCCAGATGCCCAAAACAGGGGTGGTTAATACCCAATCAGCCAGGTTTTTTTTTTGAGGTTTGCTTGCTCGTGACACTAGATGTAAGTATAGCCAAAAGGTATGTTTTGAATAACTGGTGTTTAGGTCCTGTTGTGCCAGATTTCTTGCTTTGTTGCTTTTGGAGGGTTGTTTTGGGCTTTTTCTGTTGGTTTATTAGGCATTGTGCTGTTACTTCTAGAATACTGAGGGGGTTTGCACCAGTTGCCTAAGCTGTGAGATAATAGATTTAGAAGATAAAGTCATTAACAGCCTACATGTGTTTAAAGGGCACCGAAGAGAAAAAACAGATTTATCATAGTTCAGAACTGAAATGCCAGACCATACTGCACCACTCTGGTAAGGTAACACTATTACCCTGTTGGAAAGAAGAAATGAGTCACCATGGCACGGCAGAATCTTACGCTGTACACCTTGAGAGGCTGGCTGCGAAAATCAAGTCTCATCTCAAGCCGCTGGCAAACGTGCCTTGTCTTCTGGGGATGTAACACTCGCACCCACAGACATCATGTCCTCAGTCTGGCTATTCTGCAGCAGTTTGCTGGCTCGCCCATCTTAGGCTGCACAGGTTGGTCTGTGTCTGCAGGTGAGCACATCCCCATTGTTCCCTCTACCTGTCAGGGTTAGCAGTGCTTTGTAGTTAGCACAGCTAGGAAAATCCCCTTCTTCTTGACACTTAGGTCTTGGCTGCTCTGCTGGTTCTGTAGGGCAGTATGTGGTGTGGTAGGACACTGCTCTTGAGTGTTTTCCCTGAGTTTCCAGAGCTTAAGTTCTGGAAGTCAGGTCTGAAACAAGCTGAAGACTCTCCTGTGTGGATACAGGACATACCAAGGCAGTTGTCCGAGTGTGAGAGAGGGGTTAAGTTATCTTCGTGAATATAGGCAGTGACTGATGAATCCTGGAGGAGGAGATGCAGGCAAGACCAGTTTGGAATGCCAGAAGCATTGGACAAATTAGCAGGCATGTCTGAGAAAAAAAAAAAGAAGTCAAAGACAGAGCAGGAAGAAACTGGGCGTGGGAAAAAAGAATGACATAGCAGAGTAATGGATATTCCCAAGGGTGGAATTTGGGACTTGGAAAACTGTAAGGAAGAGAGGAGGAACACTGTAAAAGACAGGATAAGTATCAATACCAAAAAAAATATTAGGCAAAGAAGGAGGAAAACTTAGATAGTAGGGGAATGGGAAGAAAATTGGAGAAACAAAGTAAACCAGGGTTGACTATGAAAACTGTGGCCAGTTGTGTAACTGTATCTAGTGTTTTGAACTAACCCACAAGTGTTAGCCATGATGCAAATTTGGCCAAAAATCAAAGTGTGGGATAACAAAAAAGAGCATTTTAAATCTAGTTTTAATAGGAAATATTTAAAAAGTGCTAAAATAATGCTAAAGAGGAAAAGAGAAGGACTAATATTACAAGGATTCTGTAAAATTTATGAAGTGTTCATCCTTGTTTATAGACGGATGAAGATATTTATGATTTCTGTAACAGTGGTTACCATTTCTTTTTTACTAAGAAACCATAATAAAAGCCGTAGTATACCTCCTGGTAAGAAGTGCAGTTGTTATCTTTTGTCGAGGAGCACTCAGAAATAAATAGTTTCGAATACTTTTCTGTATGTAAAGTGAAGATTTAGGGTTGTACATTATTAGGTAGCGATGGCATAACCAGTACCATCTTAGAGAATAACATAGCCACTTACTCAATTGCTCCTGTATAAGCAGAGAAAATTGACTAACTGTGAGAGAGCAGAACTATTTAGGGTTTTTTTTGTTAGGTCTTGCAGAAAAGAAAGCTTTTGTTCTTGTTGCTGCTCTCTGGCCTGAGTGGACCTGGAGAAGGAAAGATTAGTCTTCCCCTGGGAGCAGCTGCCCCTGCTTAGTTTGGGTAAAGTCCTGGTGTCCCAGTAGTGTCAGGGAATGAGAGAAAAACAAGCACCAGTACAGACTGGGGAATGCCTGAGAAGAAAGCCTGGAGAAGGCTGTGAGGGGACCTAATAAATGCTTATAAATATCTCAAGGGTGGGTGTCAAGAGGATGAGGCCAGACTGTTTTCAATGGTGCCCAGTGACAGGACAAGGGGCAACGGGCACAAACTGAAGCACAGGAAGTTCCATCTGAACATGGGGAAGAACTTCTTCCCTCTGAGGGTGATGGAGCACTGGAACAGGGTGCCCAGGGAGGCTGTGGAGTCTCCTTCTCTGGAGGTATTCAAGACCTGCCTGGACGGGGTCCTATGCAGCCTGCTGTAGGTGACCCTGCTTCGGCAGGAGGGTTGGACTAGATGACCCACAGAGGGCCCTTCCAACCCCTACCATTCTGTGATTCTGTGATTCTGTGAATGGGAGAGCTGGCTGCAGCAGGGACTAGACCCAATGCCATGCCTCAGAGGTGGTGGAAAGGAAAACACTTTCCTGGGAGGAAGAAGGCATGTAGCCTATTCAGAACTAAATATACCAGGTTGGTGTGGGAGCGTAGGCAGGGATATGCATGCTGAAGGTCTTCAAGCTTTTGTTTTGCATTCTGGTAAAACATAGTTTTGAAGAGTGGATCTTGTGGGTGTTTTGGGGTTTTTACTGCAGGAAAGGAAAGGGTTACGTCCCAGGCTCTCTTCAGTTCAGGGCCCTAGCAAAGCTTTGGTCTGTAATGTATCTTGGGCATGATCCAGAACTGGAATTACCAAGGCTTCTGATAGTGTTGAAAGAAGATATTTGCAAAGATTTATTGAGTTCTAAAACTGGAAATTTCAATGAGTAAGAATTACGAAATCTTCTTTCAGATCTTTCAGTGCATTTTAAAAACATTTGATTCATCTTTGCTCAGACATTAAAGACAGTGTTTTTTGTGACTGTACTCTCAAAGCTATAATATCAAAATCTGCTTTAAATGAACTATTGGCAAAAGAAGGAAATCTTGTATTTTGGGTGTAAACAAGCATCAGGGTTGTTTTGACATGAAGACTTGGAGTTCTGGGCCTAAAATGAAAACCAGTGAGAGAACTGCATCAAAAATACCAACTTACTGGTAAAGAGCAACCACCCAGCAAAAACAACACTAATAGCACATTAATGCCGGTTGAGTACAAATGCATTAGATTATCTTTGCCCAGTTCAGCCTTGGGCATATACTTCTTGTTTCTCAACAAAATATGAAAGGTGTGTAGGTTTTTGCATTCTATTTTTTTGAAATAAAATACTTAGGTAGATAGACAAATACAACTTTACTATCTCAAATTCTGACTAATCCCCAAACCTACCTTGGCTCTCCAGAGGAGGCTTTAAAATTTCCCTTTAATTCCTGGGTTTATTGACACATCAGTTTTGAGTTATGACTTGCAGCTTCATTTCCTACAGTCTGTGATTTTAAAGACACTGAAGTCTTGTTCTTTCAAGCCATGAAGGATTTGCTGAAATGCTAAGTCTTACATTGGTCAAAGGGAAAAAAAGTGTTTATTGTGATAGAGTGGTATAAGCTCCCCTTCACACATTTTCTGTGTCATACTCTCTGATTGCCAATGGCATCAGTAACGTTTAATTATTTGGCCATATTGACATATTATATGTCTTCAAAGATTATGAATTCACTTAGATGAAAGAAATGACGGAGCTTAATAATGCCTATTGCCCAGTGGATAAGTATCATCATTTTGTGACACTTGTATAGCTTAATTGACTAATGAAAATGAACAACATTTTGAGCCAGTGTGAGAAAGTTCCTTTTCTATGGATCAGCCAAACTGGCTTTCCGAAAAACAGTGATTTCATCTAGGTGGATATACTACAGTGCTGCTGTCTGATGCGCTGTTGATGGTATCTCATAAAGATAAACTAATCAGATGCTTTTATCTGCAACTCTTACATAAAGTGGTTTCTAATTTCCATAGTAATTAATCAATTTTATTGGATTTTCCCTTGGCCTTTGTAATTGTGTTGGTCAGACCAAATTATATGATGTAGTTTTAACTGAAATAAAGTGTTTAGATGATCCCTTCATTCCTTCATTATTTGGTTTGTCAAGAGATAGGAGAAAATATTGGTCTTTTAGAAATCAGATGTTGTCCAGCTGTGTTGAGCTGTGTACCCAGGAAGCACTTGTCCCTCTCACTGACAAGATTAGTTCCTTTTCTACTGAGATCAAAA